TACCATCCGAACGCTACCCCGATCAATTGTGTCTTGTTGCGTGAGGTCAAAGAAAGCAAAGGACCTAGGAGCTGCATCTGCTACCCTCCTAATAGCCGAAGCCGAAGCAGAAGAGGACGGGGCTGCCGTAGAGCTGGCTGCGATCGATGGCGCGGCGGTCTCTTGATTGGGCTCATATTCGGTAACAGCGCACACCACTCCATCCCGTTTCGCTTTCTCTCTTGAAATGCCCCGGCTTATGACAATAATCGCAAAGACCCTCCTGACGCTGATCCTTGCCACCACCTTTGTTGCCAGGACCCTTTCCTTTGGGCTTGTCATAGCGCTTGCCTTTGTCCTTGCCACCTTTGGAAGAGCCTTTGTCGCCCTTCCCTTTGCCCTTGCCTCCCTTTTGAGCATCTTGCCAACACTGACCCTTACCACCTTTACCATACTTTCCACCTTACTTGCCACCCTCCTTGCCAGCCAAGGCATCGATCTCCATTGGTGCTGGGCCGTTCCCGACCCCAAACTCTTGCTGAATTTTCGTAGCACTGTAAACATGCGCAACAGTCTCAAAGGAAAGCACGCGCTCACGAACTTCTGCATATGTGGAACTCCCTGACATGCTAAGCTGCACTTGTTGACGCACATGTGCCGGCAGGGCCTTCGTAAGCACCCCAAGCAGCATCTCATCTTGAACAGGTTTGCCCGAGGCTTTGCGACACTCTTCTGCAAGACGATCCAGACCCTGTATTTGTTCAAGATAAGAACGATCTTTGGTAAAGGAAGGAAAGCTCATCAATGCTGTCATCAGACCTAGCGCTCGCTGCTTTGTGTGAGGATTGTAAAGAGCGACAGCTGTCTCCAGCCCTCATATCCATGCTGCGCACCGCCTGCGCTCAGAATCTGCAAAGATCTGCCTTTCAAAATACCACTCAAGATCGAATACAGCTGCTTGCTACGACTCTGTGCTTCAGCAGTCCAATCACTCAACACAGTCGCCTTTGAAAGTTTGGTGGCCTCAAGGTCCTCAATCTCGGTCCTAAACATCTCATCGGCATAATAGAGCCATGCTTTGAAAGCCATAGAAAAATCGCCCACTTTGCTTGATCTTCTTCAACAGTGCCCCCACCGAAAGTCTCAGGACACTTGCAAACTTTCGACGCCTCTGCGAAGCCAGTTCTCCCAGCTCCCTTCGCCGCCGACAAAGCCGACAACGCTCGCGCAGCACTCTCGGCTGCCGCTGTAGCTGCTCTCACCAGTTCTGCAACATTCTTTGCCGTCAAAGCTGCCATCACATGTA